GGAGAGACGGAAAAAGCAGAGGAAGAGAAGAGGAGAGTGATGGAGAGAGGGAGGGAAGGAGGGAGGGCGAGGGCGAGGGCGAGGGTGAGGACAAGAGAGAGAATGGGAGGGCAATGGCAGGGGCGAGGGCGAGAATGAGGGCGAGGGCGACGACAAGGAGGGGGAGAGTGGGAGAGTGGGCGAGGGGGAGAGGGAAAGAGAGAGAGAGGGAAAGAGGGAGAGGAACAGCAGTGGGGAAAGGGAGAAGGAGAGAGGAACAGCAGTGGGGAAAGGGAGAGAGGACGAGAGGGGGAGGGGGAGACGAAGAGGCAGAAAGAGAGGGAAGGAAATCCGGGGAGAGCAGGAAACAGGGGGTAATAGGCGAAGAGAGAGGGAGAAGGAAAAAGAAAGTACAAGAAAGAAGGACGAGAGTGAACAGAGCAGGGACAGAAGTGGAGAGGAAGTGAAGAGACACGAAGAAAAAGGGAGGAGAGGAAGAGGGGGGATACATTAGGGAGACGAAGAGGGAGGGAGCCACGGGATGATGAGAGCAGAGGATTTAGATGGAAAGAGAAAGGAGTGACAAAGAGTGAAAGAGATGGCGGCAAAGCGAGTAAGAAGAGGGTAGACGAACAATTAAACAGAGCAAGAGAGAAGTACGGAGCAAGAGAGAACGAGGGGAAGGAAAAGAGCAAGAGACACCTTGAGAAGGACAATGAGCAAGGGACAAAGTCAGAGAGGCAGATCAGATGGGGTGCCTTCATCACTTACTGTATTGAATCATGTTGAGAACAGGGACAATAAACTCCGGAGCGAACTTCTGTATCTTCTCGCTGGCTTTGCGCTCAGATATGAGAGCCTCCTCAAATGTCAGACCTGTCTTCCCAGTCGCTTTGCAGGTCCACAGTCGCTGTCGGTATAAATTTATCCGCTTCAAATACTCTCTATGCGCCAAAGATTCAACCCAACGGTCAAGGAAAATGGATGTACTATTGCGGATCCACGCACCGCCTGCAACACTAAGAAACCACAAATCTCTCTCTCTCTCTCTCTCTCTCTCTCTCTCTCTCTCTCTCTCTCTCTCTCTC